ATCCCGGACAATCCAATACTATAGAATGTCATCATTGATGGGTCAAAACCGCTCATCATAGTTGGTTTTAGCCTCAGCGATGATATATCGACGATGATGGCCATGGTCATCAACTCATCATCTCCAATTTAGAATTGGCAGCGATAATATGTTATCACCGCCGGTTTTGCTTTTCAGCCAGTTGTGAAGATGCCATGATCATTGTCGGTTGAAGTTTTATTTGACATTGATGATCCTATAACCGTTGTCGGTTTACAGCATGAACCGGTGGTGATGAGCATTTTGTCAACACTGGTTAGTGGCACACTCCAGCGCTGATGAGCGTTTGGTCACCACCAGTCAATGATGCAATCCAGCGGTGATGAGCAGGGCGGTCGACCTTCCTCCTAGGTGGACCAACCTGCATGCAAAGAAGTACAACATTAGAAGATCTCAACCATGCAAAATAAGGTGGTTTGATTCGAGGGTGGAGGATGGAGAGCACATGAATCCATGGGCCCACCGAAAGGAATATTCCTTAGCATCTCTAGAGCATATCCACTCTCGTAAGGCACCCCTAGGACTATAAATACCCACTACCCCTCACTCTCATTCATGACCACAAGGAGGGGCTACACACTCCACTCATGGACGAAGCCCTGCTCTAGTAGTACTATACAAAATAGGGAGAGAGTGAAGGAAGTGTAGAGAAAGGCTCGGATCTATCCGTGTCTTCTCCAAGTTGTACCTTGAGGTTGCACTATTAGCTCCATGCCTCTCTAAAAGGACCTAGGATGCCACCTAGAGGGGGTGAATAGGCGTTTTCTTAAAATTAACACCTTGAAATACGGAAACGATTAGAGTGAGAGCTTCCAATTGCTTTGAAGCTCCAAAATAGAGTAAACTAACCCCTCACAAACTAAACACAGAATATATAGCAAGTACTAAACAAATACATGAGCCACGACCGTGCAACACAAAGATTAGAGCGGAGAACAACTCAAATCAGCATAGGTGATAAATACCGAACATGTCCGATAGGTCACTCGAACATGTCCGAGATGCACTGGGTTAGCACACCAAGCTCCAAACTTGCTGCCTTTGGTTCCAATCTTTTTTCTCCAAGTTGCAGGACCTGCTAAGAGTTGTATCTCACAAGATACACTTGCACATGAGCTAGCACAAACCAAGTGGATCACAAATATCAAATGAGAGAGAATTGAGACACGATATTTGTTTTACCGAAGTTTGGACTCCATCGAGTCCTACTCTCCATTGAGGGGGCTGCAAGCGACCCAGCAAAGGTCAGCTCTAGAGGACCATGAAGGCCACTCTAGTCGGAGTCTTTTCCAACTCCTTTTCCTCCTTCCACTAGTTGATCCCTTCCCTTGCGGCGTTGGAATCGAACCGTTACAAACTTTTCGAGGCACATCACAGTCTCTCGGGTGCTCTCCGGCGACGTCTAGCCATCTAGGACCAAAGAGTCCAAGAGTAACAAATGTGAATCACAAGATCGAGAATATGCACAAGTGCTCAAGTGGTGGTTTGCTCTCAATTTTGAATCTCACTCAACCCACAAAGTGGATTTGGCAATAGGAATCAATCACTCACTAAGAGAGGGTTGGAGAGTATTCTCAAGGCTCAAAAACGTGTATAGGAACCAGCAAAATCAGTAGCCTCCAAAGGTGGAGGCTTGGGGGTATTTATAGCTCCTTTGAAAAACTAACCATTGGGCTCAGGACGTGCATACCGGGCATACCGGACATGCCAGGTATGACTTACACCGTGCCAATGTTAGAAGGTTAAAGGCGTGCGAAGCGTCAGAACTCCCGATGATTGCCAAGATTTCCGACTCCCGAGACTCCCGATGCTCACCGAGACTTCCGACTCCCGGAACTCTTGATCTGAACCAATACTTCTAACGAACCAAACTCGAGAACACAGAAGTTGTCACTGTGGCCATGCTCCTACCGGACATGTCCGGTAGGCATATCGGCCATAGCAAGGTAAGTTAGCTTGATCTTGCGTCTCTCTATCTCAAACCTCACATGGGTTGGATTGAGCACTTATGAATGATCATCTATCAACATGATGCATCACTCTTAATAGTACGGCATACCTATTTACTCAAGATTAAATGAAAATGAAGCTTAAACCTCTTGAGTTGATTTTCTTCAAACCAAATGACATAGCTCTCAATCTTCATCAAATGAGGGTGTCAACATGTCAATTTTGATTTTCTTCTTGAGCATAGCCATCTTGAGCATGTGACTTGATTCCATTTAATAAATGTGAGTTAACTTCAAATGTATCCAGTCACTTTCAATAATATATCCAATATATTTGATTCCTCACTTCAATGTGACCATCATAGCTTGATTGATACCTCAACTAAATGCCAGTACTTTCTTCTTCACCCTAGCTAGGTTCTTCGGTCGCCAAGCCGTCGCTTGCCCTTCACCCTTGCTTAGTACCTCGAAGCCTTTCCTTACTATCTTCACCATCTCAAGCCATCAAGTTATACCTTATGTTGAATCATCCATTAACATCATAATTCATCCTTTCATTTGTATAGCAAGCTTCAAATATGAGACCATTCCATATGCAATCCCCTATATCTCATTAATTAATTCTCAACGTGCTTGTTTTATGATAAATCATAGAAATCCCACACAAAAATAAGCCTTGCAAGAATTACATTTACATTGTTGTCTTGTGTTTGAACAGATTGTTTATACAACAATACATCATTTTGGCTTTCATCAAGTACCTGTGAGATTACCCATTTCCTGTTCAACACTTAGCAAATAGGTTAGACATTTAATCACATTGTCATTCAATCATCCAAAACCCACTAAAGGGCTAGATGCACTTTCACCTTCACATATCTAGGGCTTCCTCTTGGCACTCATAGGCCTAGCATTCATGACTTAAGTTCTCTGCTCAACAAATTTGAACAAAGGCTTGGTGGAATCAGCAATCTCCTTTCTTACCATGGGAGACTTATTTTGGTAAACTCGATTTGTTAGCTTTATCTACCTTCTACATGTGCTGCCTGCAAATCCCCTAAAGGTAACCAATCACATTGATAGATATAGAATGCATTGTCTCTGAGGTGACATCAATAGGAAGGGCTCATGTCTTGCTGCCTGAGAAACAGCTTGCCGACCAAAAGAAGGAGGAGGTCTTGGAATTACCAATATCCAAAACCAGAATACAACCCTCCTTATCAAGTATCTTGATAAATTTATTAACCATGCAGACATACCCTAGGTACATTTAGCTTGGACAAAGCTCTACCACCACCCCATGCAAGAGGTCCAGTTCGGTCCTTCTGGTCGAAGGATGTTCTCAAGTTAATAGAAAATTTCAGAAACCTCACCACTTGCAGCTCAGGAAAAAATTGCTCTATCAGCTATTTCCTTAGCTCCCCATCCAGAGTCTTCAACCTACCTTTGTCCATTGCAGCAGCAGAACAACTAGAGGAACTGCAAACACTAATTGAGGAGAGCAACTGGGGTGAAAATACAGAAGATACCTGGAAGTATAAGTGGGGGATCAGATTTATACTCATCTAAAAAGGCCTATGCTCAGCTCCAAGGAATCCAAATAGCCTCACCTTTGTTTTCTTGGCTCTGGTCCTCTTGCAACCTTGGGAAACACAAGTTTTTCTTTTGGCTTCTTTTAAGAGACTGAACACCTGGAACTTGCTAAGAAGGAATAGATGACTAACTGTGCGTTGTGCAATAACTTGTGAGGAAACAAGTTTCATCTCTTTTTTTTAATGCCCCTTTAGTACTGCATGCTGGAATTAATTACATCTCAATCCACTAGAACCTGGCTCCGAAACCCCTAGACATGGTGATTTCAGCAAGAACCATCTTTGACAAATCCATTATTAGAGAGATCATGATCATAGCGTGTTGGGTCATTTGGAAAACAAGAAATGGAATCATCTTTGACAGAGAAACACATAGCCTCAGCAGAAGGAAGACTACTTTTAAAGAGGAGCTTGGTTTGGTTTACATCAAAGCCAAGCATGCTAGGAAGGTAGAATTAGAGTTGTGGCGTGAGAATTTCTCATAGTTGTAAATCCTTTTCTTTTTTTGAGCTTTGCAAGCTATGTAAAGAGTAAATACTCTCTTTTTTACATAATACAAAAAAAAATTAGGTAGGGGCCTCAACAATTTCAAAAACAATATAAAAATAAATTATATCTTTTAAATTTGATAGAATGAAAAAATAGATATGTAACGTTCCCATAGTTTTTTATCCCATCGCAACACAAGCATATTAACTAGTTACTTCCTATATTGATGTCAAAACTGAACCCAAATAATATGAATATGACGAACTAAAACAAAACAGAACCAAAATATACATGAATTGGACTCACATGAATCTTAATACAACTTATAATTTGTAATCATTGGACACATGAATCCTAGGACAACTTATATTTTGAATCAAAGGTGCACATAGTTTGTGGAGCTGACGAACTGAAATGAGATGAATGAAAACGAGCCACAGCAATTGAATACTAGTAGTTTGCATATTACAGGTTACATGCCTTAGCGAATAGACAAGTGGTCAAAAACCAGAACAGAGTTATTTAACATAGCAATCTAACAATTTATCATACTTGACACAAAAATGTCTACTTAATTCCCTGATTCACAAGATGGTCCGTTAATTATTACATTAAATAAACAAAACAACATTTGTTATCAGGCAACTAATTCTATCATAATTCTATCATAATAGCACAAGGCTAAGTTCTGACTAACAATATATACATTATTGCTGAACATAACAACATATTTGTTAGACACGAACTCAGGAGTCAGGACTCAGGACGATTCATTTCCTGCTCAAGGGACAGTGATGCAGACTGCAGTGACCATTTTTCTTTTTGGTCCAAGATATGTAGATGGATAAAAGAAATCCATCAAACACTGACCAAAATGAAAATTCGCCACAAGATTCAGTTCCAGTCGTATGCATATACCACCAGTTGAATCCTACAAACTTGAATCTGCACCCTTAGCGTCTATGTAACCACCAATTTCTGGGGCAACAGAATTATCTTCTTTGTTTTTGTCATCCATGGGGTTATTATTTCTGTCACTACTGGAATCAGACAAGGTGGCAGCAGCATCTTCTGAGGAAGAATCAATGCTGGATCTCTTCCTTGTATCCCTGACTCTCCTACCTTTGAGCTCAAGTCGCCTGCGTTTCCGACCCTTCCGTTTGCCCCTAGGCTGGTCATCCTGATGCAAATCAGCACTCCCCTCTGAATCCCTTTCAGGTCCGGTTCTCATGTTCTCTGCTTCTAGTATGTCAGCCAACAATGAGTCACTTTCCCCTTTTCGCCGCTTATTTGAATTCATCTGAAACAAAAGTCACTTGAAATGATTCTTCAACATCAAACTAAAGAAGAAACAGAAACAAAATCAATAAAATAAATCTGCAGCTATCAAATCAAACCAAAAACAAAGAAATTGTTAATACTAAAAAGAATACTACAGTAGATAAACGCTATTTCTGAGACAAAATGGAACTTCTAAATTGGACAGTTTAGATTACTATTGCTGATGTCTGAAAGTCTACTACTATGGGTAGTTATACACAAGCACCCTAAGGCAGGTTTCTCGGGAAGGCATGGAAGCTTACTAATGATGTCACATAGCATATACAATCAAGGCACAAGACTAGGCACCCAATTTGGTTAATGTTATGACTGAAATTTGAAAACATGAGACATTTAGCAAATAACAAGAACAATGCTAAATGACAACCCACATGCTAGAACACAATCAAATCTACGTTCCATGGCGTGCAATGAGGGAAAAGGGAGTTTGGAACATCACAGAAGTAACTATGCATCGGGCTGCAAGTGGGTACTCATTGGTGTTTTCCAGGTCAGCTAATTATGTTTTTTTTCTCGAACAATGTAGGAGAGCTGCATGTCATTTCATTGAGAGAAAAGAGATACAAAGAAGATGAGAGTAAAACAGCCCCATCCAAGCACACCACACTCACACGCTTAGGAAAAAATATAAAGTAACCAGACTAGCACCCCAATGCTAAGAATCAGGGGCAAGTGACCTTAAGTAGGAAATGGAACTTAGAAGCACCGGTCCACAAACAACACTCATCAGACACATTTTGAAGCAGGGCCTGAATGTCTAGGAAAATACCCTCAAACACACAGGCATTCTGATGCTTCCAAATCTCCCATGATACTAGAATTATTAGAGAATTGAGCCCATTATGCATCTCCTTGGGTATTGACCTGATATTGCTGCTCCACCAGCCCAAAAAACAGGAGGTACTGACTGAAGGCGCCAAGGCAGCCAAATTCAGTGGAAGTGTTCATAGCCTAGTGGTTGTGACTCATGAGTACCACCTCCCTGTGGGAGCAAATTTCAGGGTTGGATAAAAAACCTCCCTCGCTGGCAACCCATAAAATAGTGCCAGGGCGCCGACCTGTGGTAACGGTGGCAGTCAGCCTGTGTCAGCAGTGCAGTCCTACCAGGGGTAGTGACGGAGTGCCATACGACTGTGGCTGCCAACCTACGTTAGGTGCGGCACTATAGGGTCTACACTGCCAAGGTTCTCTGCGGGGAAGGGAAGGGGGGGGGGGGGGGGGGTATCAGTCGGTTGAAGATTAATGTTTCTTCCAGCAAACAATGCTGTGGGGGCAGTATTTTCTTCCCTCCGGACCGAGTTTTTGAAGGCAGAAGTTCAGTTTGCGGAAGATAAGGAACCAGACATGCCGAGTAAAAAACTAAAAACACAGGAGATGAGAATGTGCTGAATTGATTCTTCAGCCTGGTCACAGAGCGGGCAAGTAGATGGATGAGGCAGAGTCATTTGGCAAGGCGATCAGCCATCCAACACCAATTATTGATGGCCAACCGTTTTAGTTCATTCCTCCCCCTAAATTAATTATGTGGCATGCCATTTTAGTTCATTTTAGCAAGTTTTGAGTCAACCCAATGACCCAAAACAAGTGGAGCTTGCATCCTTACTCCATACAGGAAACTGCAACCAGATAAAATGACAAGCAATGATGAAGCCCATAAACTTACCTTTGAAGCTTGGTCAACAAGGTGAGCCCATTCCCTCCTCTTCCTTAGACAGTCGTTGATGGCATCCGCATAGCTGCGATACACAGAATCTCCCCCATTGGATTTCCTTGAATCCCTGAAATGCTGAAAAGTAGAATATAATCAGCATGAGCACCCAGAATATAGACATGTGCTTATACTAAAAAAAATGTATACCTGATGGATAGCGTCACAGAGTTCCCCATATGTTATATTCCTGTCTTCACTGATAATTTCATCAATCAATCCTGTACGTAGAATATATGGCCACTTACAGACTTTCACAGTATACAAAACCAGATGAAATGAGCAGTCTGAACTCTGAAGTACATACCAGGTAAATTGTGTGAAACAATAGTATCCATCAAATCATCCTTTGCTAAACCAGTGTTGGCACCAGTTGAACATATGCCACGATTTTTCTGTTCTGATGCTATATTTTCAGCTGATCTGCATGAGTCTTTCACAGGAGCATGCTCTGTGCTAGAAACTCTCTGTCTTTTTTCTGTTCTCTTGGTGTCCTCGCTATCTTTTAATGAATCATCTCTATTTCTCTTTTTTATAACCTGCACTCCCAGGGAAGCATCACAACATTAGAAACCAAATATGGTGAATCGGCATAAAAAAGGTAAACTTTATGTCCTCCAGGTGCTAGTAACCTTACCGCTGCATGATCCCTTCCTCCATGTGATGAATACCGCTTAGAAAAAACAGAAGCTCCAGATGGATGAAGCATCTGTGCACCAGCTGCTTGATGGCAACGTGGCACCCTCGGTACTCTGGGGGAGCTGTTCAATTGGTGATGCAACAATAATGCAAGCTACAGAATTGTTTTCATAAAAAAGTGAGAAAAGACGAATTTTTCACTAAAAATTTGGAGTTGGGACAATTTATGATCTTCATACCTGTTCATCGCTAATGATGCGCTGGTGGATCTTGTCCTTTTTCTGGGAAGAACTAGAAGCTACTGCCTTATTACGAGACTGAAGTAATGGCACTTCTCCATGGAATGATCTTGCTGAGGTGCCTCCAGTGAGGGCTATCTTCTGTGATTGCTCCTTTGGCACGGGTAATCTATTTTTGACTGTAGATGATTTTGGAGCAGAAGGCGGTGAGCCTTTTAGTTGAACTTTCTCAGAGTACCTTGTCACTTCCTGGGAACTATCTTCAGAAAATTTCACGGAATCATGTTTGCTGACAGTTGGTGAGACCAACTCCTCTTTCTTTGAACAATCACTATTCCCTGATGATGGTTCTTTCGAAGCCAAAGAGTGTGATAACTCAGGTGGTATAGAGATAGAACCAGAAAAGGATGTACAAACTTTTGCAGAACCCAAAGTTGAGTTAGGATTCTCAGCAACTGTGTGCCTCGGATTTTGTGTTTCAGATTGCGGATGTTCATGGCATTCTGAACCATATGTTGATTTGGATGAATCTTTTTGGACGATTGAAAAAACTGCAGCTTCCCCTAGACCTTGCTTATTGTTTTCATGGTCATCACTCGCTAACTCGACAGAGTGAGCTGTCTTGTTTTCCTGAAAACTAGGCTCAGTTTTAATAGTCTGTGGTTTTGACTGACCGATAAGTAAATCTGGTACACCAGCAACAACCTGCAGATTTGAAGTTTGATTTGGTTGCTTTTGAACGCCCTGCATGTCTTGCACTTTGATAGGACCTGCATGGATTATCATATTTCCATTAGATGGTTTGCCATCACCTGTTCTGATAACTGCAGAATGTTCCAAGCAACAAACATATAAGTAGCACTACTCGGTTTCATAGGACCAATATTTGTGCATCAGGTAAGTATCTGGGGAACTTGAGTTACCTGAACTTGTTATGCCAGACCTTGAGCCCATAGTGTGATCCCCTTCTGGCTGTTGCTTATACATTGTAACCTGCATTGTGCCAAATAATGTAGCAATTAACTTAAAAGAGTAAATAAGAAAATAAACCTAGGCAAACTAAAAGTTATAGATTATGAAACTACTACTTTATGAATTTACAATGGAACTGTAAACGTGCAGTCATATTGAAAGCATGAGAACACAAATAAATCGGCTTCAAATGGCATGGTACTGCAAACTAAATCTCCACATATGATGGCAATATATATGTTGTTTACTGTTTACTCCAAAGGCTGTGAAAATGGCAGAGAAAAAGTTTAAATAGATAGCAACCCTGCCATGCTTTCTCATACCAAATATATATTGTAGCACTAGAACTAACAACTGATACACTACCATGAACACATCAATAATTAACAAAAAACATTACAATTTCACTACAGCAATTTAATTAATGCAAAACAAAAATGCATCAACAGAGGTACAAATCCTAACAGAAAAAGAAGAAAGCACTACGGCAAGTATCTCCATCTCTTTTCTGATTTCATTTGGTTATGAAACCTTTGATCCATTTATTAAATTGCAGTGCAGTAGTTTAATTAAATTACAATCAATATGGCAAATTTCTCTACAATAAATGTTACTACTAGCTTTGATGCCCGACTTATCGTGCCTCTGCTTTACAACAAAACATTGTTCTATCAATATGTGCATGACAATTGAAGTCTCAAGCACATATCTAAATGATTTTAGGCACATGATGTAGTTATAATTCATCTTGAGAGGTATGTGACTATGTTCACCATGATCCCCTCATTGATGCTAAAAAGAAGTGTTCAACATTGTTTCTTCTTAAACCGGCACGAGAGCTGCCCTTCATTATATTAAGGAGAAAAATATACAACGAAAGAAAGAAAGAACAAGCCCAGCAGGGCCTTTATACACATAAAACTAAAAAAAAGGATTACAGAAATGCCATGTATAAAAGCAAAACCAGGTAGGTGAGCTAAAACCAAACAACACTCAGGCCAAAGAGATTCTAACTCAATGGTTCCTGCAGAACGATTCTCCACTAACCCCCCTGAATATGGTGTCGAACGCTAGGGTTCCTTCACTCAAAGACACATTCGTTACGGTGTTTCCAAATGAATCATGCTACCAACATGGCCAAGGAGTACAAATCCTTGTGCCAATGAGAATCAACCGAAAGTGAACCACGATTTTTACACGTGAGTGTTCAGCATTTTTATTTTACTTGTTTTGGAACCTGGAAGCCCAATTGCAGCTCTAAGACTCTAATGACATGGCAGGGCAAGAGATATTAAGATATTTCAGACAAACTAAGATATTGTGCCCATAAAAGCCAACTGTTCTTCCATCTCACTGCAACTAAGACTCACTCAGTGAAAGGTTTATAACAGATTTTCTGAAGATGTATTGGTTGCAAAAAGTAGACGAGGGACAACTCAAACTCGAATTACCTCCTGGAGGCGTGATTTGCTTATTACTTATCAATAGAATAATAATTGTTGAAAGGGGGGTGTAAAAACATTAGAGCAAGCCAGAACATGGGAGCATACAGTACTAAGCAAATACCAAGGCTATTCGGTCGCATTCTATGCTGCCAAGAATCAGAGTTTCTGAGAAGTTGCTCAACTAATAAATACATTAACTTGCCAACCACGAAGCATCGGGATCTTCAGGCGCAGGTGTGCCATCGATGTGAGATAGCACACCGAACTTGCCAACGAGGGTGAGAAAGAGTTCACGCCAGGTGGAGTAGTTGGGTGGATCAAGTTCTAGAGCGAAGGGGATGTGGGTTTTGACGTTGATTGTAGCAAGTGCCGAAGCGAGGCCCGGGGCAGGTGGAGGGGGAAGAGCAGCGACGATGGCTGCGGCCAGAGCAGCGGCAGCCTGGGCATCGTCGTCCATGGATGGAAGGAGAGGGGGGGCGTCGCGATGGATAGGGCGACAGGAGAGGAGGAGGTGGGTCACCTAGCTGATACCATGTGAGAGGAATAATACCTGCTGTTCCATTCATTGATCAAGAGTTTATAAAGGAGTTACATGACTCTTCATTCTAGACTATACAAATTCTAGGCTATTCATATTCTAATAGGACTAAGCATGTATTCTTAAACCACTATGTTTTATCCTACAAACTCCAAATCCTTCATGGATCTCAGAGCTGGAAAGGTGCAAATGGGCCATAAGTGTCCCATGTAAATGTGTAGGTCGAATTTTCAGAGCTATGACATGCAGCATACCAGCGTTTCATTTCCTGTTTTGCGTGTATTTTGTTCACTGTTGATTTTGGAATTCATATGATTACATTGGTACGGGTCAATAGATTTCTTTGAAACATACAAACATAAAGCCATGAGCTTTGAACTGTTTGGCAGTCATGCAAGGTACAATTGATTATGAAATGACTGAGAAACAATGTTTTCAAGTCGTCCGATTAATCGCGATTAATCGTCCTAATCGGTCCCTGCTGACTGATTAGGGGTACCATCGACTTGTACAAGTCATCCGATTAATCGTGATTAATCGTCCTAGTCAGTCCCATGGCGACTAGGTTCGACTGGACGACTTGAAAACATTGCTGAGAAAGCATTCTCGTCCTTGTTTTCCAAAGAACTCTATTGAAGATGCTTCCTGTCACTTTTTATGTAAGATATCTGCGCCAATTCTCAACTCTTTACATAGACAATTTGGCATTTCATTTCTCGATTAGGTCTAGAGAAAGCACCAACAGCAACTAGAATTTATGAAAACCTTACTGGACAGACTAAAATGAATTTGTATGGTACAGTTCAATCGTGGATCCAATTGTTTGCTTGCTTATAACACCCACTTGAGATTTTATTGCAATTTTTTTCTTAGCAGTGCTGCTCATTTAGCTATCTGTTGTAGGTACTATGGAAAGTATATATAAGCTCCATAAGATTCTATCAACATGCATATTATTGATATTCTCAATCATTTAAATTTTAGTGGAGTACCTCGAGATGCTTCCCATCAGAAACCCATATGTATTGGAGCCATACAGTAAACACCCCACACTTATTAATGCGTTCCATACAGTGAGTAATAAACCACGGAAAAATTGTTTTGATATAATGCATGGGCACATGACTATTGACTAGTAGTGTGAGATTAAAACAATATGTTCATGTTATGTCAGGATAACAAACTAGTTTATCTACAATAGTGGAGAGCAGTGTTGTATGGCAATCAATGTTTAAAATTGCTGGCTAAATCATTTAGCGGACACATGCCTCATAAGCTAAGAATCAATATAGCGCGCTTTAGTGGCCGCTCATCCAATGAGCGGATTAATTAAGAAAAGAGAAAATGTTAATGACTGAGAACTTCCAGCTGAGATGTCTGGGCCAAAAGGAAAACATAGAAGGCCCAAAATCCTCCCCTGTCATCTAAGACGTCCAGGGCCCACGTGACCTACATCACATCCCCATCCCCTTCCCTTGTCGGCCGCCGCATCGCTTCTATGTCTTCTTCCTTTGTTTCCACCTCCAATCCTCCCAAAGTCCTCTACCCATCGAACCCTTCTGCCCTGTGCCTCTCCCTCTCCTGCCCCTCATGGCTCACGCTCCACCCCAACCTCACCAGTGGCCATGCGCTCTCGGAGTTGACTAATCGTCACGTGTCTGGCCCTCCTTCCCATGGGGAACGTTGGCGCTGCCGTAGAGCATGAAGAGGTGGACGGAAGGGAAGCGCAAAGCTGTGGGGTGAAGCGAGAAAGGGCAAAGCAGAGGACGGCACTCTGACAGATACCCAGCAAGGAAAGGTGAGATGATCCTGTTCCAACCAGAATCAAGAAAAGCAGCACTAAATTTCCTCACCGCGAAGCCTGTTTAGCACCGCTAAAGTACTCAAAGCTGAAGCAGCGGAGGAAAGTGCCATTGTGTGGCGTCGATTCCCACCAGACGCTATAGCCTGCTATTTGTTATATTGATGGTGATTTAAACAGTTTCTGTGAGTCTGATCTTTGAAGTAGTACCAGGCCTTCTGAGTGCTAAGTAGCCAAAAAGTGCAAACTCCAGCAACACATCATAAAGTAGAAACAGCACAGCCATGCTATGGCACCAAAACAAACAAATCTACCAATCATACAGTTATGCGATGTATTCAGTAATATGCAATATATGTGAGATAAACTAACCTCTACCCCAATAAACCCTGAGGGCACTTCTTGTTCCACCATGGATGATGTAGTTTGAACTCCAGATGAGACCTCCAACTTCTTGGGCACCTTTTTGCCATCCTTGCTCAGAGCCTCAAGAACTTGCTCACAGCTTTTCTTCTCCCCACTTGGCTCCAAGGATTCCTCCATCTTCTTCTTGGTTTTAGCAGTTAGCAAATCAGAACTGGCCATATTAGTTTCAGTGTGACCATCATCACGAATGGAATCCTGTATCCCACAGCCCTCACTCTGCTGACACCCATCCTTCCAACTATCAGGCTCTGTAGCACATAGGAAACCGACACACTACTGTATTAGAAAAAGAAGAAGAAGAATGATCTTTGTGCAGCAATTAAACAGGAAACCATGCCCAAACTATTTACCTCTCTTCTTAGCCTTGGTTAGAGGAGGCATTGCTTGCTGATCGCTATCAAGTTTTTTGCCACGACAACTCAGGCTTCGGACGTAATGCTTCTCCTTCTTCGGTTCAATGGCTATCAAAGCATCATCCGCCATCTCCCTGGGCTTCTCTCTGGCCAGCGCAAAAAGAGCATCAGCCCCATCATTATCGTCGGCCCAGGACGGGAACTCGCAGTAGCGGAAGCCAAATCTCTTGGGGACGTAGCCGGTGCAGCGCCACAGGGCGGCGGAAAAGGCCGGGGCGCCGCGGAACAGAGCGCCGTCGCCACCGCCGGGAAGCCCGTGGACGTGGACGCGGGCGGGGAGCGGGACCTCGGCCCAGCAGCGGTACAGCGGGGGCGGGCGGTGGGTGGGCAGCTCGGCGAGGAGCTCGGCAACCTCGGCCTCGTCGGCGGAGGAAGGGGCGCGCTTGGACCTCCGGCATTTGTGGCAGGAGAAGGAGGTGTGGACGCCGTGGACGTAGCGCGCGCACCGCGTGTGCACCCACACGCTGCACTCGTCGCAGCTGACCATCTCCTCGCCGTCGTCGAACGTGACGCCGCAGGAGCAATCCACCGTCCACGAGCCGTCCACCCAGTCATCGGCGGGGTTAGGGGCGGGGATGGGGGCCGCCGCCGCCGCCGGCATGGCGGGATGGGTCTGCGGCGGCTGCGGGCGGTGCAGGCGGCCGCCCTTCATCGGCGGCGAGCGGGGGAACCCTAATCTTCGGATCGATGCGGAATTGAGCTGTGTAACTGGTCGGAATGTTGAAGACGACGGCGTCGACACTAGGACGCGGAATCGCGGATTAGACGGACGGAACCGAGGAACGGATTTGGCGTCCGACGAATTTCCCCGTTCGGATACTGCAGTTTTGGGCCGATTTGCAAACCAACCAACGAGCGCGTGAACCGGCTTGGGTAGACCTGCACAGGTTTGCTTGCTTAACTGCGTTTTTTGGTTGGTCTAGGAAGGCCACTTCCGTTTCTTTTTTTCTTTTAATAATAATTTCGGAATTTTTAGAGGATCTCCAAAAGACTCTTTATAAACAGAGATTTTGGTGAAAAAACATACTCCAACAGTCTCTTCCATTGAATATCCAAATATAGATATCATCTATCCCGGATTTCTCGCTAGCCAAAATGGAGAGTGAGGATGGCTCTTCAGACTACGCACAAGATGTAGAAAAGCTATTGCAGAGTATAAAGATATAAAAAACGATTTTTACGTAAATAACACTTCAAATGATGATTTAGATAGTAGATTTCAAAAAAAAAAACTTTTGGAAATGTTCTTATTACTCATCTGACTAGCAAAATCGCTGGTCACCAAGTCCTCGAAATCTTGAGGACCCCCCTCTCCAAGTGTTATAACAACCACTTGGCACATTACAACCCAAAGCAGCTAGAGCATGAGCGAATCTATTACTATCTCGCTTGCAAAAAGAAAGCACTGGTAATAATATGTTTGATCTCGGTGATAACTCCTATGAAAGCCAACCTGTAATAATCGGTTTCAATTGCTTCTCTCACCAGAGTCGCATCAACTTCAAGAGTAATATGTGTGATCCCCAGCTTCACGGCCTGCTGTAGACCTGAAAGGCATCCCAACAACTCGGCTTGGAAAGCATCGAGGAAATTCTCTCGCCCTGCCCCTGGGCTCACCACACGCCCTTGATCATCTCGGAGGACGAAACCCCACCCCCATCTTTCCTGGAACTGTCAAATGCACCGTCAGTGTTCAGCTTGAGCTCCGCCGACCTCGGTATGTTCCAGCGCACTCTCGAAAATCAGAAGACACGAACATGTCTAACAATCCTATCCAAACTATGGTGTGTCACCCTTGTCATTTATCGTGACAGTATCAGCAGTTAAAAAGAAAACATGCCGCATTTAACTGATTCCTTCCGTTATTATTATTATTTTTTGCTGTGAAAAGCTTGTAACATTCTGCTCATTATCGTAGCAAATTGATGACCAAACACATTCACGATCCAACTATCACAGTATTACTGTACTTGCTAATTGATGATCAAACACCCCCATTCACCATCCAACTAGCCACAGTATTACTTGCTACTCGGCGGTGCACCAAACAGAATGGGCATCGGCAACTTACCTGCTGCCTTCAAGCATTTTTTTTTTTTTTGAGTAATAGGATCAACCCATGTCTTATTAATGAACATTTCTCTGTGTGCGCATAAAATAAAATGAACAAAGTAATGTAACCTGGTATACAAAGGGGTTTACGTTGGAAGTACGATTACACTTTGTTTGCACACAACACCTAGTTTCTCGAGGAATACAGGGCAACACACTGCACCAGAAGAGCACAGCGACAGAAGTGCTGACATTTATCAGCAGCAGAGCTTCTCGAGGTCTTCCACACACCAAACAAGGAGCTAAAACAGATGATCCAAATATTATTGACCTCAAAGTCAGCAGTCTAGTAGCACACTACAAGGTCCAACCTGAGGAACTGTGATCTGTACTTCATTCTCAAGATCAACGGTTAAAATGAATATTGGACCTAGCAATGGATCAACAGATCAACAAACTTCAATAGAACTGCCAGCACTTGGATGCAGTAATGCCTATTCGCCCGACGTTACATCAAGCTTGCATATAGGGCAGAAGGTGCCCCATTTTGTGAGCCAGGAATCAATACAGGTCTTGTGGAATTCTGTAAATAAAATTATTGATGATAAAATAGTGGAGGAGCTATAAGAAATGAAAAGTTTCGAGCACACTTGCTGCTAATGGATATCATTATGTTGGTTCCCAAAATCATTGTCTGCCTTGAAACAAATGAATTATGCAAAAAGAGAAAATATGCATCTACCCATCAGGGTCACTCAATATATATGATTATATTGGTACATTTGTATCTATCACTGAGAAACAAACAGTAACAGTTATATGACTGAGCACCTCAATATCTTTGGTAACTACTGAGTCAGCAATAATAATTTAAGATAGCAAGTACTAAAATATCTCAAGCTCTTACCATGTTTGCATGGGAGATGTCTAAGCATATCACCATTATTGTAGTCTTCTAAGCAAATTGCACAAGCTTCCTGAAAATTATCTTCACTAGAACAGGGAGCATTGTATGCTGAGCAAGGAAGCTTTTCCACCACATGTTTCTTGACGTAAGTTGGGTGATTATCAACTCCATGGCGTAGAAGTCGGCAGTTTCGAGCAAACAGAAAAGAAGCAAGAACTGATATGATGACAACAAGTGATACGAATGACATTACCAACACTGTCCCTGCAGTCTCATCCATCGATGAGTTAATACAGCACTCATCATCTTCACCCCTGGCAAACTTCTTTAGTGTTTCGCCAGCCATCTTGGAAACGAATATCGCAGGTATGTGTATGCCCTCAGATTCACCAACCACTAAATTAACATAAAGGAGGAAACTATTAACTAAACAGGGAATCTCCCACAATGCTACAAGTTCTACGCTAAACAGCACAAAAATCATTTTCTCATGTCTAACATTGATAGGATTTATTCTGGTATTCAGATTCTCATGCGATGACAAGCTCTTTACCTAGGTACCTATAGAAACCTCAGTACATTGATGTGCATAGTGGGACATCCTACACTAGCAATGTAATCAGGTCGTCTGACTAATCGTGATTAGTTGGCTTATGAGTCCACTCAGCTCAATTAGGCACCCTGATTCAACTAGGCCGATAAAAACTCTAGTTGTCCGATTAGTGATTTTTGACCGATTAAGACATGAACAACTAGCCTGGGGAGATGAGAATGCAAACTAGGCTGGCACCTGGTCACTTGGACACTTGGGCAAGCCCAATAGGGTTTCACTTGTATACCTCCTCCACTGCTCTCTCATTGGATCCCCTTCACTGCAGACTGCAGTCACCGCCTTGCAGGAGCTCGAATGGGCAGGAGAAGCTCTCACCACCCTGCACCTTTTCCAGCTGCTGCTGCCACCTCTTCCATCCCAAGCCATTGCTCCTCTTCCCAATATCCCCAGGCCAGGAGCACACACAGGGAAGCTGCTGGTTCCATCCCTGCCTCAGCCGGGCATCGAGCGCTGCCAGGGTCCATCCTGATCATCCCAAAGGAGCCTATGCTCACACCACCAACTCAAAGGGATTACGAAGATGAGCTCCTCCTCTGACGGTCCATGTTCGAATCTTGATGCGTGCTTTTCTTTCTGTACCAATGCTGTGAGTATATACATCTTGGGTATTAGGACATGTCTGACTAGGCTCAATTATACAATTTGAAAACATGTACACCAGTGTTAGCTCAACTGTGTTTTCCCTATGATAGACAACTAAAAGAAATATCATTTACTTACAATTCAATCAGGGAGGTATTGAGTATTGCTAATAGATTGAGCAGCATTAGAGTAACTTGTTAAGCTGGTAGCAATGTTCAGCCAGAGATCATGGAAATCATTTTTCTAAGGGCAGCCAAACATTTTAGTCGTGTGCTGGTGTTAGTTATGTGTTTCTCAGTTTAGAAGAAGTGAAACTGACAAATGAAAATTGTATGGCTAAGAAATTAAACACAAGACAAAAATTACTATAACTATATGAGATTAGAGTCTTGAACAACTTTAATGAAATCAAGCATTCAGCATTTTTCACTTCACAATCAATGAATTTGGAATTATTAGCCGAGTTCAGTCTCCTTAGAATTAGAACTAGAACATAAAGTCTCTTTCTCCCTTTTAGCTCTTTATTTATATTCTATAGGTCATTTTTAGAAAGCTCGAAGAGACATAGTAACCAAGGGAAAATTTATAATTATGCATGGGTATAATTTTTTGTTCTAACATGTTATTTAGCACCTCTATCATATTGTTATTGTCATCGTCTACCTAAAAGCAATGACTAAACTTGCATTGGCACAGCATCAAAATTAGCATGATCATTATAGTAACCAATTGAAAATAAAACTGTAAACCTTTTTGTTACCTTAAGTATACAATAAGAATTAAACCAATGCACAGAGTATGGCTAAGGACGTAGCATGTGGCATAAGAGCCAAGCAAAACTTCTCGACAACGACTCCATGCTAGTGAGGTTATCGCAACTCACTTCATCAGTAATAACCCTACATGAGTTCTTCATCAATAATACCCATGCATGATGGACCAATATAATGGTAAAAAGGTTGCATAGATTCATATGTCTCCTGATGCTGCCTTAAAAATATGAGAAAAGAAAGAGCTAAAGTCTGTAAATAAGGAGCAAAAGTGAAACAAGTGCTGCTATCATACTAGCTAATAAACCTGAATGAATTGATTTGGAAGTGAAGTCCTATTTGCTAATAAAAAGGGCGTACCCAGTGCAGAGAGCTCCCGCTCTGTGGGGGGTCTGGGGAAGGGTGTTAGTGGCAAGCCTTACCCTCGCCTGTGCAATGTGAGGAGACCGCGACTCAAACCCGGGACCTTCCGGTCACAGGCGGTAAGACTCTACCGCTTGCACCAGGCCCGCCCTTCTCCTATTTGCTAATAATTAGAAAAAAAATGAATTAACTATTTTAGAAGTCAAAAACAATGAATGGTGGCCTTAGTTTAAAATGATGCACTAAATAATGTGCATACAACTTCTATTCTGCTTGGCTGTAACCATCCAATTCGAATACAATGCTACCATGTTTTTCCTTGGCCCGACTACTTGCATGCATTTGAGACATTGCCTCAATTCTTATATTGCTCCAGAGAACAAGCAAAAGAAGCTAAAGAAAAAGAGTAGGGAAACTGTTATTTCTTCCTACATAAAAAAAACAAGGCCTTCTTATTAAGTCATGTCACCATAAGTTAGTGGATCTAAATCATTGTCTCAGATAGCAGATCTCCATTTTAGATTTAGGCCCCATTTGGATCATTGGAATTGAATTTATTTAATAATCATAACTTGGACACATATTAATTAAGCTAATATGGTTGTATATAGATTATATTTGTATATTATTGTTGGTTATACGAGAGAGATACTTATGCGTTGCATTTCTACCATATGGGGGTGAGTTGAAGAGCGTGTCATAAGTTGGAAAGTAGAAACATAGAATGGTGATCTATAGAATCAATTTCCATCCCTCACCCTATGAATTTGAGATAGGCTTATATGTGAACTTTGGAAAGTGGTGGAATGTCAAATTCCAAGCCAAATAACCTAATTTATTAAGTAGATTTCAATTCCTCCAAATGAAAGGATCCAAACAGCCCCTTACTGTTTTTATTAAATTAACTAAAAATTAAGTACATTTGCAAATTTCTAAGCAGAGTAGCCGACAAGACATTTGCAAAATTCTTATGTAGTTACATGAGGTGGATTATTCTTTTCCCTTTGTAGGGAGACGCACTGGATGAATATAATAGTCACACAGATGTGTAAGCATACACAGATCCATCTTCAATAGAATCTCAAAAAAAAAGGCACTACCATCTTCAGCTAAAAAAATATTTGTCTAAGTTGATATATATAAGAAATCACTAACAATTCTGCAGCAACAGGTAAATAGTTTGCCTACTATGCAACGAATACAATGAGCACCAACGAAATTGCTCAGTTAACCATAACTTCAGCTGGAGCAAACGAATTGCAAAGAAACCAAGAGTAGGGTTAAGCAGAATGGCATGGTGGTACTCACTGGAGTAGAGGCTGGCTTTCTCCTCATCGTCGTACACGACGGCGGCGTCGAACCCCGCTTGCTGCGCCGCCCGCACCTTCTCCTCAAAGCTGCAGTTGCCCCTCGCGATCAGCACGAAAGCCTTCCGGCCCGTGCCGCGGCGGCCGCCGCGGTCTTTGATGGGCTCACACGCCTCGGCCGGCTCAGCGGCGCGCAGCGAGCCGCAGATCCCATCGCCGCCCACTCGGGGCCCTACGCGCCAATATAAAGTAAGAGAGAGGATAGGTAAGCTCCATTGAGGGATGCGGAGGGCGATGCTCACCAAATCGCGCTGGGGCGTCGAGGAAAGTGAAAGAAAAAGTGGCGGAGTGAAGGCGGACGAGGGCGGCGCAGGGGCGGAGGGCGGCGGCGAGGAAGAGGAAGAGGAGGACCACGCGGGGGCTCATCGCCGGGACATGAGAAGCACAGATTCTCGGCTCCTCTCTTTGCTTCTCGAACAGTGGAATGAATTTGGTTGGATGGATATCTTCGGTATTTCCATATATCGAAGTTTTGGCCAGCGTTCAGGCCATCCACGTCACCGAATTATTTCACCCGCCGAATTAATTCACCCGTTGGTCCTGGTTGCACCCACCAGCTTCTACAGTGCCCATTTTGGAATATCTGCTCCCACCATATCCGCTGCCTCTCAAAGCCTCCCGTCGTACCATCAGAAAAAAGAAACCAAACCCCGTCTCCCTCGACCTCTCCGCGACGCTCGGCGCCCCTTCCAGTGATGCGCCACGCGCACGCGCACGCGCCGCCCTCTTCCAGCCCTTCCTCTCCCTCTCCCTCTCTCCCGACGCGCCAAGGCCCTCCTCCTCCTCCTCCCCTCGCGTCGCCGCATGCCGGGCGGGTCAACGCTGCCGACTCTCACATGAGGCCTGTTGGAACTGCAGGCAGCGATGTCATGAGTGGGGTGGCCGGCCCTCACATGGCATGGCGGCGCCACCTCCTCCTCCTCCTCCAACACCACCACCACCATGCCGCTTCCTCCTCGCGACGCGAAGAGCAGGGTCACGCGGCCTAGGGTTTGGCCCTCCGTGCCGGCCGGTCGTCCCCACGGTCGCTATGGGCAACCGTGTTGAGGCCCCGACGCGGCGAGACGGCTCTGGGCGGAGGGACCTCCGTCTTCGGGCGTGGATGACGACGGGAGGTCACGCCAAGAACCTCGACGGTGGATTCAAGCGGGCTTTCCGCGGGGCCCCTCCCGGCATGGATCTCAAGCCGGACCACGGCGTTGACCTCGCTGGCCAACAATGGAGGCGGTGGATCTCTGCTGAAAGCAACGGCGGATCAATATGAGGCCTCCTCGTCGCCATCGGATCCGGCCGCATGGGCTCCACCGTCGCTACTGGACGGGTGCACACATCCATGAAGCCGGCCTCCGCGCGCCCCATGGTGGTGCCGCTGCGTGTTTTCCACCCCCCGACGCCGTCCCGTAGGTTCGCTTCTCTCCTCATGGCGGGCCTGGAAGCGGCGGCGCCCCGACTGCTTGCAGCAATAGCCATGCCGCGTGGCCCCATGGTCGGGCAGATTACGGCGGTGGGCGGTGGACGCCCACACAGGCGGCAAGACAGCCCCATGTTGCCGTGAGCCGCCGCCATTGCTTCCCCATGTTGCTTCTTCCCATCGCTCCGCGCGTGCTCCACCAAATGCTTGGATTTCTCCGCTCCCCATTCAATCTATGCAGTGAATCGGGTGGAAAAAAAACTCCTTTATTTCCTTTACTACCTTGCCGATGCGCGAGGGCGCGCGTGATGGACTAGTTTGACATCATTGCTAGACCTAAGAGCCGGTGCCTGCTAAGAGCATCTTCAAGAGTTTTAATAAAAAACAATTGATAAATTAATAATTTTTCACATGGCCAAAAATTATTTCAAATTCTCACTAATTATATCACAAACCTAAATTATTTTTAAATTACTCCAACCATTTTTTATATTTTTCTATCTTGTACATTTGCATTGGAATCATGTCCTTGCTTTGTATTCTTCACTCGCACCCATCCACTTCTAAATTGGCTGATTGATACGCTCATACGCGCGTCTATATTTCTGCACAATTGGATCAGTTTTCTCAAGTGCCAAAGATTGGTAGTTGAGATATTTTGATAGTGTTTTCTCTCTTGGAGATGCTCTAAGTTTCTAGCGAAAAAATCTTCCTTCTATTCTGAAGTATCTTGAGTTGTCCATTTCTCCTTCCTCTTTGTGTCTTACTTCTTTTCGCTTCAAATTTGAAACTTACAAAAAAAATCATTATCATTTGTAATAGAGTCATGCATGATTCAATGTAGCAAGTGTAACTATGAATTGTGACTGTAACAACCTCAGTCACTGAGCAAAATTGATGTTATATCTTAGAAACAGTTAAGGAATAAGTGTATATCCTAGTTCAGGTTAAGTGCCCTAATTGTAAGAAACTAAATTACTGAAACATGAATGTTGTTATTTCAAACTATATATTGTAGATGATTGTTATGTTTTCAGGATGTTTAAGAACACGATGCTTATTCTAATGTAACATCTCAGAGCTTAAATCGAAGCAACAATAAACCTTTCGCTCACCCCCTTGATCCCTTCAGATTATGCAACATGGTTACTATGATCCCATATATATGGGAAGCATGGTTAGTAGCATTGTGATCTTTAACATTGTTTTGCATGAATCCAGTGATAATACTGTTTGCATTGCAATGTAGTATTTAATTAAACTACGTGTGACCCTGCTAGTTGTATATTTCTTGGTGATGTGGTAAGTGGGACCATAGACTTGTGTTATTTTCTTCTTGAGCCTTTTTATTGGTTGTGCTTTGAGTATGTCAAAGATGAACACTTCTAGTGCTGAAGCTTAATGCATCCAACATGTAAGACTGGTGTCTACATCAAATCTAAAACTAAACTTTCTCATGAATACCTATTGAGGCATATGGGATACTCTTGCATTTGTTCTGGCTCAATGTTTGAGGTTCTAACATTTTGTCAATAGGAAATGTGGAAGCTTGTGAAGAGAGCTCACATGGTCCAAGAAAGCACTCAAAATAAAGATGGGGAAGAATGTGAAGCTTTCTAAAGCAAAAGAAACCACTTATGAGGTTCCTTCGTTCCCTAGCAAAGGAAGCTTATGCTGCATAGGTAAAGCTACGAGTTATCCTTGATATTCTTGTATCCTTACGTATGAAATTGAAAAAATTACATCTATATTGTTGCACAAATACTACTTTAGAAAAGTAGTACCCAAATAGCTGCCAATAGCAAAACGACCTAGCACAGGTCTTATTTGGATCCGTACCATTACAATTTTCGAAGTTGTGAGATCTGCCATTACAATTCATCTATTCTGAAATTTGCCATTATAATTCTTCGTCTACCTGATCCTTGCCATTTTCTACGTCTCCTGGGTGCCTAGGCCCAGTGTCAGGCCACTGCACGCGTACCCATCTTCGGATCGACCAAAACACCCTTGCTGATTCTCCCCCTCCATTTGCTGACGTGTGGACCCCATAAGTTAGCTTCTCCTTCAACATCCCATCGTCTGGCTCAACTGGGTCAATCCAGCCAGTGTATTAACTAAGTTACAGTTTATTCTTCTTGAGGTGAAGGACTTGCTAATACTTTGAAGGATGGGCTGCGGTACAGGTTTGCATTTCATTTACCCACACACCAGTGCACCATATGTGTGGGGTATTGCGAATGCTCACCAAGGCCCCGTTCGCTGGTCTGAAACTTGACTGAAACTGACTGGTTTTGTGAGAGAGAAATACTGTAGCGGCTGGTTGATGAATAGTGTTCTGTGAGGGTGTTCAGCCGGCTGGTAAAACCAGCAACACGCCCCAAGTTTGTGTAGCCAGGAGCCACCGCGAAAACGAATCGGATTCTTGGCTCGCTTTGACTGGCTGGCAGGTTAAAGTACCATGGATTGGAGCCCTCGGTAAATTCAGTTCAACTAGGATGCCAGCTTACTTTGGGGGAAGCATATCATGCAAGACCTGATCACTGATAGTATGTTCTTTAATATTGTCTCGCATATCAGCCACATGTATAAGAAAATAAATTATCCACAGGCCCAAAATGTAGTATTTGGGGGAATCGAGTTGCTTCATCTGTGTTGGCGATTTTGTTCTGTTTGTTAGCATTCTAAATTTCGGAGCCCAAAAGGTCTCGATTGGCCTGGGCTTGGTTTCAGAAACCTACCTGCTGTTGGGTTGTTTAATACAGAATGAGAACCAGCCCACAGGAAAGTGGACCCTCGGCGGCTTGGCGCGCTGAAACGGAACCGCGGAGCTGACGGGATTGGACTCCGCCCACCCACAGAAGGAAACATGACCGTGTGCTTGTTCATAATTCTACACCCGACCTCTGCTCTGCACCTTGGACAAACTCTCGTCGTCGCATCTTACCGTTACCGCTCCTGTTTCTCTCTTCCCTTGGCCTTAGCCCCCCTTCTTCTCGTCCAGGATGACCATGAGGTCGGCCATCCTCCTTACCATCTGCACCTTGTCCGCGCTGCTGCTGGTGGCGCGCGGCTCGGAGAAGCCATCGGCCGCGCTGGTGGCGGCCGTGGGCGTGGCGGCGGCCAGTGATCTCATCCGCTACCTGGACGTCAGGTGACCTTTTTTTTTATACTCGTGTCGTGTCCCGTGAGGTGACTGTTGTTCTCTCCTTGCTCAAGCTTAGCTTGTGCTTTCTCTATGTATTCACTCATCTCTACTATAAGGGACTAATCAAAACTATACTAGGTCTTAAAAAAAATCCCCCGCTGAGACTACAACCATTGTGCACCAACGAAATTGTACCCAGGATTACTGTATCATTAAAATCTATGACTCCTAATCCTTTTTCATAGGCTTCAACTTGATCCGATGGCCAATATTATTTGGATCTCCCCCGCCCAGGCTTCAACACACGCCTCACACATCCCGCAGGCTATGGTAAAATAGAAACCAATAGAAGTCAATCAAGGCAAATATGAAAGTCAATCAAGGCAAATAGGAAGGAGGGATCCGTGATTCCGATCAAGGCAATTTCCAGAATTGTCATTATAATGGAAAAACCCACGCCGAGCCCGGCCCCATCTAACGCGCCCCTTCCAAAACTCTTTCGCGAATAACAGTCCGAGAATCCGAACGAATCCACGCCATGGCCATGCCGGTGGCCCACTTCTCCCATCCCCAACACGAGCTCAAGCTGAGGACGAAGTACCACCTGCCACGCTTCTATGACCTGTGCGGGGAGAAGCTCACCGGTAGCGGCTACAGCTGCCACCACCGCCTCTACGATTTCGACCTGCACGAGGAGTGCGCCAAGTACCCGGAGACCCTGAGCTCCTTCTTCGCGCACCCGTGGCACGACCTCACCCTCGCCCGCACCGACGACGACGGCCGACGCGTCTGCGACCTATGCCGCGA